GGCCCTGTCCCTCAAGGCGGGCCCTGTCTCCAAGGCGGAGGCCCCAGGGCTTCAGTAGCCCAGAAGCTAAGTCTGATCCGCCTCTTCTGGCAATTACTCCCACAGACCAGGGCCCTGGCCAGTGTTGCTAGCCCTCCTTCCTCCTTCTAGCCACAGGAGAGCATCTTGTTCCAAAGATGCCCAAGCCAAATTTGGTGACTGAAGGGATGTGCACCTGTAAAAAGATGAAAGCTCGACTCTGTGGTTTACCAAAAAGGCTTCTGAGAATAATATCAGCCTCCATGCAGGTATCCTTGCTCTGATCCACTGTCATACTTCCAGAGGTCCCCCCCTATCTTAGCATGTGAGTGTGCCATCCATGTGTTCAGTGGGTAAGGCATCTGCCCAGGAATAAAAATGAAATTTCTCTGCTCCATTTAAAAGTAGCAAGGGTATTTAAAAGGCCACTGACCCACCACTAAAGCTTCAGTGCCACTACCCTACCAAATAACCCTTCTTCTACATGTATGTTAAACTGGAAACAGACTGGGCATCATAAAGGAAAAGTGCTCAGAGAACTGATTCATAGATAGTGAGCAGGAAAGCTAGGAAGTCATCCTGGTCGGGTCTGGCTGCACAGTTACCAAATGAGAACAAAAGGAATGAAGGAAAACTACACACTTTTGTGTACACCTTGAATATCAAGCTGCCTCTTCAAGACTGTTTGGTACAGGAGCTTTCAATCTGCAGGTACCATGAGTGAAGGGTTTCTGGTGGCTCTGCTCAGCCTCTTTCAACCAGCCATCCACGGGCTGCATCCTCTGCATTTGTGTGTGGGGGCGAGGGGGGGGGGTGTCTTAACAGCCTCTAACCAGGTATCAGAGATACGCTACCTGTCCATAATGACTCCCTCTTAATGACTTTCCCTTGATATCCTTGCGTTTGAGGCGCTCAGGAAAGAATTGTTAAAGTGAACTAGCAGGACAGATGCCAGAGGACACAGCTAGGGAATTCTCAAAGCAGTACCAACCTAGAGACAGGACTGTTAAGCCAAAAAAACTCCTCTTATCCATTAAAACATGCCCAGAATCTTTAAGATATTTTGTCCTTTTGTCTGGGAAGAGAAGGTAAGAAAAGAAGCCCTTTCAGCATACAATGAACATAATGTTTTAAAGTTGTATTGTGCTTTCAACAGCCTTTTGAACTAGTAGCACTCCCATTTTCAGAAGACACAAAGTTCAAGTGATTAAATAGCCGGACAGAATAATAAACTTTGTTCTTCTTATTCCTACCACATTATTCTTGCAACATCGGTGGTATCCATGTGTGCCTCCATTTCCCTACTTCTCCCTTCCCTGGAACATTGTAGAAGCAAGCACTTTCCACCAAAACCACTCTCTCTGTAAGCTCACCAGTGACCCCCTGGCCAAATTCATGGGTCTCAGTTCAGTTTGCATCTTTGACCTCACGGAAAAATTTGATACCATCAACCACCCACTTCTTCCTGTAACTGCTTGGCTCTCGTGGCACTGCATTCTTAAGTTTCTCGATTCCTATCTCTCCACCCATCTTTCTCTGTTTTGTCCCCCCCCCCATTCTTCTTCTTTCTCCCTCACATTAACTCTTGGAATTCCTGAAGACTCAATCCCCAGTTATTCTCTCTTAACATCCATTTACTTGGAAAGTGTAGAAAGTGTCTTTTTACACATTTTTACCTACTACCTGGCATATATTTAGCCATATTTTATTCTCTAGCTGGGATTCCTTCTTGGTAATGTCTCTCAGATCCATCTGCTCCTTCTTTTCTAGTTTTATTGCTACAAACTTAATCCAAGCTCTCATTACCTCAGATCAAATATGCAAACTGAGAGTTTTCTGGCAGATTGCCCCACCTACAACCTAATCTACTGTGTCATGCAAGAGTAATTGTCCTCTTACACCACTTCCATCAATTCATCCTTGCGCTCAAGAACCCACAGTTGCTCCTCATTGCTTCTTTAATGGGATCCAGTGTTCCTTAGTGAGCCTTAAGTCCTTAATAGCAATAGAGAGGCACCAGCTCCTCCCCTTTGCACTTGATAAAAGCATATTCCTAGAGTTCATCTCCAATATTCTGTGCCTTTCATCTTCCTCAAAATCCACTGACTGAACACAAAACCTTGCCTGTTTGTGTTCTCAGGGTCTTTACAGTACACCCCTCTGAATGGTGCCGTAACTCAAATTGTAGCTTTCAATGCAGAAGATTTGTAAAACACAAAAAGACACCAGGGAAAACAATTAGCAATAGCACATACATGTACAGTGCCATATATGTGTACACACTCACCACACATTATTGTTTTGTGACCTTTTTCACTTAACAACATACTATGTATTTTCCCCATGTCAATTACTACCACTTGTTGCACCATTTTATTGTATACCTGGTACCCCACGCTCTGGATCTGCCATAATTTATTTAAATTAATCCTTACTGGAAGATTTCTGTTCTTTCTAGGGCCTTGCTATTAAAACTAGCGTTTTGATAAACCAACACAAATCTAACTCTAATTCCATTTATGAAAAAAAATAATTGCCAACTTATAGAAGATTGGTGTGGGGATTGGGAGATGTGCAGAAGGGGGTGGAAAAAGGAATGGAGAATAGTCGTAAAATTTTAAATGGCCCAACCCTCAGAAAAAAACAACAGGTGTGTGTGGGGGGGGGCGGGATTCTGGCTTTCTTTTCACGTAAGGGGCTGCTAGGCATCTCTTCAAGTCCCAGTCGCAGACCAGCCCTGAATGGCTGAGATGCCTACCCTCTTTCCCCACCACATCTAATGAAACTGCAAATCCATCAGACAAGGACTGGGTCTCGTTCCTTCCCACCCTTCCACCTCCATTCTACACCTGTCCCATACCTGTCAAAAAATTATCTGTTTACCCATCCTCCAGAGCTCACATATTTCCTGAATGATGGTCAAGCTTGTTGACAAAGGGAAATAGTTTATAATTGTGTATTCAGACTTTCAGAAAGTCTTGGAGAAGGTCTTATTTCATGCCAAGATTGTTTTAAAAGTACAATTGAGGCGCCATTAGCTAGGAAATGTTTTCGCCAATCCTTGAGACTGAATGTTTCCTGCCAATAGTGCAGCTCCATGGAGGTTGGTTGAATTGAATTGAGTTGCATCTGGCTACTTGCCAAAGACGGGCACAGATGGTAGCTCTGTTGGAGTCCAAGAGGCTGGCAAAGCTACAATGGGCTCTGAAGGAGGGAAAGAAAGGGCTTCATGAAGCACCAACTGGATACTGAGAAAGAATCATTCATTCATTCAACAAATATTTATCACATGTCACACTACAAGGCACTACACTGGCTCCAAGAAACACATCGGTAAACAAGTCACACTGGTGAACAATCTGTGGCTCTAGAAGTTCATGGCCAATTCTTTATGAACTGGGGAAAGGCAGGGAACTCCAGGTTTAGGGGGCAGTAGGAAGAGCATTGAGCATCATCCATGTTTGAAATTAAAGTGTGAAAGATTTTTGACTTTGGACCCAACCACAAAAGTCTAAGGCCTTGTCTGAAAAGGGAAGATGCCAGGTGGTCTCACCTCACTGTCATCTGCTATATGTGACCCACCCTACACCCTACCTGTTCCTAGCGATACTGTCTTGAAGGTCTGACTTGCCACAAAGTTACCTTAGTAGGTCCTTCTCTAAAGAAGAAGAAGAAGAAATAGGACATTTTTTTTGGTCCATTGGGCATCTCAGTTGTTCCATAAGAATATGTGCAGGATTTGACAAAAATACAATATATGTGGGTTGGAATGAACCTCAAGATCTTCAGTGTTTGCTTTAAAGAGTGCATGGGAGTCTTGGTGGATCTAAGCCACATTCTGAAGCATCAAACATGGTGCCTGATCTCCTTTAGTTAATGAGTGTGCTAGTCACTAATGAGTATGCTATATCCCACTGTGTGCTGTACATATGACACATAATTTATTAGCAACCCTAAAAGGTGGGCAGGGTGATATTAAAACTATTTAATGACAGTGTGTCTTGGACACTGTTCAGTCAGAATGTACTAACAAAATAAATGCTAAGGGTAAACAAATAGTATAACCCTACAGAGCCCCAATATCATAGGACAAAAAGAGGAGGGATACAAACAAAATACTCAGAAAATCATACCAAGTTCTCATGTCCTCAGGCTTCAGAGACCCTGGGTTATTCTGAACTGCCTTCCTTCTTACGGATGCTCTCATCAGCTCTCTGTACTTCTTGAAAATACGTGATAACCGCCTAGTCTGCCACACCCCTAAAGTAATGATATCTATTGTAATAATAGCCTTTTCCTCCAGAACTTTCTTAAGATTGTCTTTTGTTGGCTCAAAATTCTTGAAGGTTCCTCATTGGTTTGCCAAATGACCACTTTTGTGTGGCCTTCGAGACTTTCTGGCTTGAAGATGTCATCCAATCCTGTTTGCAGCAAGAACCACCCAACATGTCTCAATGCCAGACATGTTTCCTGTTTCATTTTTTTCTACAAATCATTATTTTTTGAGATATAATCAACATAAATTATTGTGTACGTCTG